AAAAAAAAAAAAAAAAAACTTTTCCAAAGTATAAAGGAACTAAAGAGTATTAGCAAAACTGGAATTGGACAATTCTAATTATTACCCAACAGAGTTGACAGATCACAGTTTTATGGGGTCTAAGGATGCACAAAATAATTGTTCAACTACGGATGGAAACAACTATACCTTGCTTCTTCCAACTGTTTCTCTCTTGCTTTCCTCTTGGCTTTCTTTCCCTGAGTATTTGCCAAGCGGGCTCTAGCTTCAGAAAGCATCTCAAGTTCATCTGCAAAAATAGAGAAGAAAAACTAAGTTCTTCAACAGAAGTATGGTATGTGAGAGATATACTATAGTACTTAAGAAGAGAAAAACCATAAATATAATCATTACATGGTGTTGTATGGGTTTTGAAGTCGGAGAAACCGAAGTTAAAAACCAGGCCCACCACTTGCTAGCTCTGTGACCCTGGATAACTTATTTATCCTCCCTGAGCATGTTGCATCATCTATAAAAAGGGAATAACAAGTCTTATTTCACAGGAATGTTGAGAAGAGCTAAGTAAAACATAATAGGTAAAGCATCAAAAAGTATTCATTAAATAGTAGCTATAATTACCATATCTCTCATTATCATCAATTAACTGACACAGCACCAATCGTAACAAACTACTGTAAAAACTACTATTTAATTATAAGGAAACAGATACTCTATTAAACAAACCTTTTTTTCCTCAGAAAAGGTTCTTTTCTCCCCTCCAATACATTTCCACGGCTCCCAAAATAGAATAAATTTCATTACTGATGCCTTACAGCAATTCCTGTATAAGGTTGTTGAGTGGAATCACAACTTTTTTTTTTTTTTTTTTTTTTTTAAACAAGATAACTTTTTAAAAAACTCAGATCCCAAGATTACCCACTCCATGCTGCAGCTTACTGACTCAGATCTCCCGGGGAGACCCTGGTACTTGTATTTTTAGAAGGTCACCACATAACAATGATGCAGGTAGGAACCACTACTTTTAAACTTCTAAATTTTAAAATTTCAACAAACATTCACTGAACACTTCACAACATCTCTGTTGAGGTAAGACAGCTATCATTATTCTCTATCTAGCAAGAAAGAGAATCAAATCTCAGAAGGATTATGATCTTGCCTAAGATCAATAGCTAATAAGTGGCAGGCAGGAGACTAAAATCCAGTTCCTCTGATTCTCGATTCAGTGTCTGAAGAAGGCATCATGAGTCTGCCTCCTAGTACTGCACTGCTGCCTTACTACAAAGGTTAAATTACCTGCCTGAAGTCAAAATAGTTAACAGGACTGAACTCCAAATCCTGTCGTGGTACCTCTCTCCACAGAATGGGAAGGAGAAAACAGAACTCTCAAGGGCTTACAACTAGCCTTTAGGGAATCTGTCCAGTAGTATTATGCTGCTTAATTTATTAAATGAAATGAAAAATCAAAAAATAAAGACACTGTCCAGAAAGAACAATTACTCTATAATAGAAGACTGGACACAATTAGAAAGAGAGAATAACAACTGCAGACAGAACTGGGGTTCTAAAAAGTCGGAGGAGCTTAGAAAGAAAACTCAAAGAGTTAAAAAGAGGCCTGAGGACTCTATGGTTACCAAAGAAAGTCCTCAGAAGCACGCACTCACCCTCATCCATATCAATCGGATCAGGCCGTGCTGGTTTTGTTTCTGGATTTGGATCTATTTCCCCAGGTTTAAGTTTTCGTGGATCATCTGTCGTTTCCTCTTCATTGTCTCTTTGTGCAGCTTTATCCCTAGAAAAAAGCCCATAAAAGTTAGTCACACTATCACACCATTCAGTCTTAAGAAATACCAGGTTTCCTAGCACTGGCACTCTTTTCTTTCAAAAACCCAACAGATGGACATTCACAAAATAAAGTGATTCTACTTTAGAGATGGCATTCAAATTCTAATTTCAATGAGTGTTCCATTCACTATGAAACAGGACCCAAGGAGCTCCTTAATCACAAATGCAATAAAGTCATACAAAAAAAAAAAAAAAAAAAAAAAAAAAAAAAAAAAAAAAACACTTTTCGTGAAGAACCAAGATGTTCTGGTTCACTCTTAGCAATATAATTACGGGTGTAATTATGGGTGATTATTAGCTTTTTTACCATTTTTTCCCTAATTTTCTAAAAAAATAGAGTATGTATGATTATATAATTTTAAGTTACTCTTTTAAAAAGCATGTAACAAATATGTAATATTATCAATAACATGAGACTTAAGAGTATATATTCCGATAGCTTTAGCTCCTTTGGCTTTACTCAGATCTGTAACTGAATGTTTAAACACAGAAAATGCTAAACGCTTATTCAGCCTCACTCAGGAGATATACATACATTTTAACACTGATTTGGAAATTCACTTACAAAAGAAATTCATAGTGTTCCAAGCACTGGGCAGCTGTTCTTCCAATGATTGGCGCAATGGTCCTCCACTGAGTTGGCATCAACTTGGCCAAGTGCAATAGTTTTTCCTCTTCTTCTCGGGACCATTCTGTTTTCTTAATGCTTGGATCTAGCCACTCATACCTATTAAAATGATACCATTTGATACATTCATTAGTCACTCGGCACGAATATCCTATTTACACATTAGATATACTAACTTCTGGTGTCTCAAAAACACAAGCTAACTCTCACCCTTCAATTACAAAATCTGTTCTTTTTAACACTATTTGGTTAACTTTACCCCATTTACTATTCCCTATCTCACTGACTTCTACTGTTTTTTTTAATTATGCAAGACTAGTAATGCTTGAAAAAGGTACCCTAACTGAAACATGATCATATGCCTTCTTTCTCTACTATCAATTGTTTTCGTTTATTTTACACTTTATTAGAGGTTTTGAAATGACCTGAAATAAGACAGTACCACCTCACATTTTTAGTGTTTCTAGTTTTCATAGTACTTTCTCACACTTTTTTTTAATTTTATTTATTTAAGTAATCTCTACACCCAACATGGGGTTCAAACTCCCAACCCCAAGATCATGAGTCACATGCTCTTCCGCCTGAGCCAGCCAGGTGCCCCTCTCCTACTTTGATTCAATTCTCACAATACCTTGGCTTACTTTAAGTATCTGACTTATACTCACTAAATGCTTCCCAATATCATGATTTTGGAGTTTTTTAATTTAAGTAAAACTACTATGCCATCCTCTATCTTTCCTATTGCCCAACCCAACCCACCTTTTCCATCCAGTCTACTTAGCTGCAATTAAGATACAAGCCTTACTAAATATTGGGGCAGGAGCTTAGCTCCACTAAGACAAGCAGAAATCCAAACTTCTTCAGGCTGAGGACAATCTTCCTCTTTGGGATCCAATCTCTACATTCTGATCCTTTCTCCCACCCAGGTGCCTAGGAAATGAAATCACTCTTGTACAATCCAAAATATGATCTTAGTACCACATGGGTCAAGGCTGGGGCCAGATCACTCATGCCAAGAGCTTAATGTGTCCACTACCCTGTGACTTAAAAGGAGACACCACAAGTGCAGTGTTGAGTTAAGTTATATTTTGGGATAGCAAATACACAATATTTCAACCGTGTTGATGAAGAAAACTCACTACTGTGAGCTAGCCTAGAAAACTAACCATTATTTATCATTAATTTCTTTGAGAAAGTAAGTTCTAAATCAACTTACAAATTGTTGGAACACAATCCACTTACAAGCTGGGGTCCATCAATACTAAAAGTAAATTTATTTCATGCTTAACAAAACACTCTCAAGCACATTAACTCATCTGTACCTCGTATCTCCATCAGTTAGTAAGGATTATTATCCCCAATTGGGAGAAAACAGAGACAGGAAAACAGAGACAGGGTATAAAAAAAATGCCTTGCCTAAGATCACACAGGAAGCAAGTGACAGCTAAGGCTTAAATCTGAATTCCCATCTCCCACTCCATACTTTCTGTTGTATCACACTGCCTGCTTTCTTTGGCAAGGTTCAAAGAACTGACATTTTCCTCATCATAATTAAGGTCGCTTTCTGTTTTCTACTCATTAAGTGGTACATACCATCTGGCTTTGCACTGCTTTGCTGATTTTCTATGCAGCAGTGAGGCAATCCTAGACCACTGGTTTTTTCCATATTTCATTACTGCTGCTTTCAGAATTTCATCCTAAAAAAATTGTCAAGGAAAAACAATATATTCAATCACAAAATTCCAAGTGAGAACAGACAAAATTTCTCCCTAGGATTGATAGGCAGAAAAGTCATAAACACACACACACACACACACACACACACACACACCAAGGTCTGGAAAAAAATACAAAAATTTAATTTACTATAACAAACAACAAGCCAGAATTGGCAAAATGCAAAATATTAAGAAGAAATCCCTCCGAAGGACATCCTACCCTCCCTAATACACAACCTCCCCACCCTAATAAATTGGGAGTGAGTACAGCCCAATCTGAGAAACACTACCTGGCAGTGATTAACAAAAAGTACTCTCCAACGTTTGGCTGTCATTCTCAAAAGGATACAGCTCCATCATTTATTCATTCACTCAAAAAACATTTCCTATTTCCTGTACTAGGTCTTCCATACTTCAGAAAAGAGAATGAAATAGGTCTCATCCAGCCTTTAAGAAGCAAAGCAAGACTCTGGGAATCCATTCTCCACTCCAGTTTACAAATGTCATTTTCTCTCCAGTCCCATAACCCCTGCTCTGACCCAAGAATCCACAGGTATAACTCAAGAATTAAGTATTTTTCCCCTACTACACCAGTCAGCTCTTCTTCTAGCCTTTAGTTATTGTTTCACCAGGGCACCCATTCTGATTTGGAATTCACTACTCCCAGGGGAGTCCAGAAAGCTAAGCCATAGACAGACACCAAGGATAACAGAGCGACAGATGAACGCACTTGGGCATCTCACTTTTAGGCTTTTTTCCACATTGAACTTGTGATACATGCCTCATATATGAGCCACTCCACCCCATCCCACCCCCTACCTCATCATCAGACATTTAAAAAGACTGCAGGGCTTTGGCCACTACACAGGAATCCTGCTGTTACTTGATTTTGTACATCTGTCTCTCCCCCAGAAGTCATCTCTTCTCCAATTTAAACAGCCTGGTTCCCTCTGTACAAACTGTGAGACAAGGTTGTCACTGATTTTATGTGTCACTTTGTTACAATACGCATCTTGAAGTAAAAACAAATAGCAACTGTCCACCCTACTAGATTCATTCTGCAACCATTTGCCAAAAAGATTATTTCATGGTGGTTACTGTCCGAGGTTCTAGGGATTCCAAGACCTGGTTCTCTTGCAGTGCTGTCTGCTGGGGAAAAGCAATGTCAACTAGCACTTACTGAAAGACTACTATGTGCCAGACTCTATTCTAAATGTTGATTCATTTAATCTATAAAAGAAGATTACTGTTACTATTATCATCCCCAGTGGAAAACTGAGGCTCTGAAAGGTTAAGAAACTTATCAGCATCACACAGAAGAATATGATGCTTGCAAAAAGATAAAACATGCTATATCAGATGGATGAAAGATGTACCATGGGGCCACTTATTTTTACAGGGTGATAGGGCAAAAATTCAAGAGTTTCTGAACTGGGTTTTGAAGGATGGTCAGAAAGATGTCAAGCAGTAGGGCATTCTGAGAGGGCACAAGCAGTAAAAAGACACAACATAAAAAGATAAGATGTGCTCCTGAAACTGAAAGTTCAGTGCACTATGAACACAAAATGCATCAAAATCTTACTTGTATTTTACTTTTTCTCTACTGCCCTTTAGCTAGCCATTGGCATTATCCATTGCGTTTCTGAAGCAAAGAGACTACTGCAGGTAGTTTGTCCTATCTGGTTTCTATCCTGGCTGAGGCGGAGGCACAGGAAGAGACAGGCCTTGGGATCCGTCGTGAGGACAAACAAGTTATGCCTTGATAAGAGATAACAAGAGGGATGCGGGCATACACGGGCCCTGAACTTGGCACTCAAGCTGCTTCCCCTCCGCAAGGAAGTCAATGAAGGAACAAAGTTGTGGCCACAGCACTTCTCTATATTTTATCAGAGAAGCACAATGCCCAGGCTGACGGACGGGGGTGTGCCAGATAACCAACTCTCCCAGAAGTCCTATCCCGCCCCTTCTACACAGTGAGCTCCTCCATGGCAGGGGCGCGTCCTCAATTCAACAAATATTCACTTAGGGCCTAACAAGTGCCTGGCACGTCAAGTGATTAAATCACGGTCCCTGTCCTTGAGGTGCTCTGATGACTCAAGGCCGAACGTCAAGTTAAGACCTCGAGGGTCCGCCCCGCGCTGCACCCCACCCCCCGCACCGCGCCCACGTAGACCCCGCAGGGTATCCTCCTTGCCTCCCCGACCTCCGCGCGCGTGCGCACAGGCCGCCGGAGGGGGCGGAGGGCAGCGGACGGCGGGAAAGGGGGACTTACCTCGGTATTCCTCCACACACCCCCCTTGATCATAATTCGAGGCATCTTGGCTGTGGGGTGTCTCGGCAAGCGGCCGAGAGGAGCTTCACAGAAGTAGTAACGGCGCTACGGCCACGGGACCTGAAGCCGACACTTCCTCCAAGCGCGACCTTCTGGCTTGAAGAGATGTGCGCAGGCGCAAGGTGGGGGGCGGGGGGAGCAGAGTAGCAAGTCTCGCGAGAACCGAGGCTGCTGAAAGGACTAAGTGCCTTGTTGTTATAGCTCTGGTCTAGGAAGACTGACAGAAACCCATCAAGCCCCTCTGGCTAAAGCGCTCTACGCCCCGCGCATGTCCAGAACAGGTTGGAGGAAACCACGACTCTCGCGAGATACCGCCGGTGGCTCTTAGTAAGCAAGGTTGTGGTGGGATTGATCGTGAGGTCACCTAGTGGCGGAGAAAGGGAACATCACGCGTGCAGAATTAGCCAGCTGGTTTAGGAAGAGCTTTGTTAACTTATTAATTTAGCATTTTATTAGGCATGTAACTAATAGGAATTTACTCGCGGAATACTCAGGAAAAGGAAATAATTTAACCCTAATTTTTTTTTAAGTTTATTTTGAGAGCGTGGGCTCGTGAGCGAGGGAGGGGCAAAGAGAGAGAAAGAGGGAGAGAGAATCCCAGACAGCCTCCGCGCTGTCAGTGCAGAGTCCAGCGCCAGGCTCAAACTGAAGAACAAAGATATCATGACCTGAGCTGAAATCAAGAGTGGGAGGCTTAACCAACTGAGCCACCCAGGCATCCGTAACCCTAAATTTTTTAAGCTGTAAAATAGGGATAATAGTATAGCAACCTCATAGGGTCATCCTAAGGATTAAATGAGATCATAAACCTAGGCCAGTATCTGATATATATAACTACCCCTAAAAGTGGCAGCTGTTATTACAAGAAAGGCAACTTCAGATGATCGGTGATTGTCCCAGAAACCCACAAAAATATCTCATCAGTTTTTCATATATTTCTATTCAATCTATGTGGATTAATAATAAAGTGTTACCATTGATAGGCACTGGTATTAGACAAACTCAGGTTGGATTGAAATCTTCGCTCTCTCATTAGCTTGGGTAATAACCTTGCTGAATCTCAGTATCCTCATCTAAAAAGTGGAGTTAACAATACCTACCTACATAAATTTGGGTGGCAAATTAATTGATACATACCTAAAAACCCAATGAGGTAGAGCTTGTCAAAATGCCATTCCAGCACCTGGGGACTCACTCAGTGTCTACAATTTCTACGATGTAAGTCATGCCCCCTAAGGGCATGCATTATACAACCTGCCCATTGGGACAGAGCAACCCTGTCAAAATGTCCCCCAAGACACCCTTGAACATGCAGACTGCATGTCTCACTTAAGGATTCAGAAAATGCAACATCATGCCACTTCCATAATGTCTAAAACCAAACCCAATAGCCATGAACACAAGAGACTGTCCTCCGACGTCGCGTGCACTGGCCAAACCCCCACAGTATCACCCAAGCCTCACCAGCCAGGACTCAAGAGTCCCCACAAAGAGGCCATCACCATCCCAGCTGGCAACACTAGAACTAAGAGAGAGGCATGCTATATCTCCCCGCCTTGAGCACCAGAGAATGAAGCAACCTTGCTGACACCTTGATTTCTGATTTCCAGCCTCCTGAACTGGGAGAGATTAAATTTCTCTCACTGTAAACCACCCAGTTTGTGGTTTGTTACAGCATCCCTAGGAAACAAAAAAGCTCCCTTTTTAATATAACATTTCCAAACAAAGTTGACCCTGGAAACATTTTTTCTTATGCTATCTATTGGTATTTAGGAAACACAATTTGAGAAACTCTGGCCCAGGAAAAAGAAATTGCCTGCCTCACTCAGTCAGTGGAGCATGTGACACTCGATCACAGGGTGGTGAGTTCAAGCCCCACGTTGGGTGTAGAGAATACTTAAAAATAAAATCTTTCTTAAAGGCCGGGGGTTGGGCGGTGGCACCTGGGTGGCTTAGTTCGTTGAGCATCAGACTTCAGCTCAGGTCACGGTCTCACGGTTCATGGGTTCAAGCCCTGCATCAGGCTTTGCACTGACAGTGTGGAGCCTGCGTCAGATTCTGTGTCTCCCTCTCTCTCTGCTCCTCCCCCCCCCCAATAATAAACATTAAAAGTATTTTTTTAAGAAGTTGGCAGTCCATCCAGCTTACAAAGGAGTAACAGGGATGTTAGCAGGAGGGTTTGTAGGTTGCAATGTCCCCCATTTCTCCACCTCTCATTCCTTTCTGAGGAACCGGTTCTGACTGGGTTAACTTTGCTTAGCCAAGAAAACAATCGAAATTCTAGTTTCCTCCTTGTCCAGTTTTTACCATCAAATTGTGCAGGAAAAGGGCTAAAGTTAGGGTCAGAAGCCTGTGACAATACCAAGACATTGGGGGCGGCTGGGGTTATAATCTTCATCATCTCCCCAAATAAGCAGATGGAATTTCAGTAGAAACACTGTGCTGCTTTGCAAATACAATTTCAAGACCTCTAGGCCTGCCCTGTCTACTGGATTGCTACCCCTAAGCCTTTCCCTTCCATTTAGAAACCCTTCAGCTAATGTTGGAAAAAGCTAATGTCTGGGTAGACATGAAATTCCACGCACCCTAAGTGCTGGTAATTCATACCGTAATGCTAACCATGGTTAATCATCTAAGTTGGCTTGGGGACGCCTGGGTGGCTCAGTCAGTTAACCTTCGGTCTCTTGATTTCTGCTCAGGTCACAATCTCACAATTCGATTCTTTAGTTTGAGCCATGCATCGGGCTCTGTGCCGACAGTGCAAAGCCTGCTTGAGATTCTCTCTCTCCCCCTCTGTCTCTGCCCCTCCCCCACCTCAAAATAAACTTTTTTTTATATGAAATTTATTGTCAAATTGGTTTCCGTACAACACCCAGTGCTCATCCCAACAGGTGCCCTCCTCGATGCCCATCACCCATTTTCCCCTCCCTCCTACCCCCCTAAATAAACTTTAAAAAAACAAATAAACTGGTTTGGGTTTCGCCTACTGACGCTTCTTCATGGTGGACCCAGTTGTAGTTTGTAGTCTTTTTCTCAGGTGCTCATATTCATTATTTCTAGGGAGTCCCCTATGCCCTGGGGTGGCAAAGTGTTCCCAAAGAGGATTTGGGTTTTTTTCTCAGGCCACAGAGTTTCAGAGCTCTCTTTGAGCGCCTATCTTGGTTTGGGATCAATATTCTGATCAGGTTATTTATTATCTAGACCCTGCATCCACATGGCACAGGCTTGAGATTCATATTTCTCACAGGAGCCTTTTTTCTACATTCACGTACCAGTCCCCAGTGCATATACCCAACTACATCCCAAACAATTCCACTCTGTGTGTGTCACAGTTTCCTCAAATTCAACTTCCCAAAATTGAGCTCCCCCTAGACGACTTCCCCAGCATTCTCTATTTCACCAAATAGCACAGGGCTGCCGTGTATGGTTGTGTAAGTAGTTCACTGCACAGGGACAGAAGGGGGCTGAAATCTAGCTGGCACACTGCTTACCAGGCAATGCATCCATACGACTATCTCCCCCAAGAGGGCATCTTTCCCTAAGTGTATAAAGACACCACGTGCTGCCCTGGCAAGGGCACCACTAGCCACCTTGCTGCTACTTGTCCTTTTCCCATACCTTCCCCCTACCCATATCCAAGTCTTTTTACCTCCTAGTTAGCCCTCAAATCCATCTCCTTTGTGCCACTTCTGTAAGTTGCCAGATTTAGCAAATAAAAATACAGAACTCCCAGTTAAACTTCAATTTCAAGTAAAAACAAAACAAAACAAAACATATTTTTAGTATAATTATGCCTCATGGGTCCATTCCGTCCTCTCTAAGAGGACCCCGCGTGTTACACCAACCCACACTGTACCCAAACAAAAAAACACGTTTCTAACCAGATGATCCTAGCCACGCTCACACCATCACCACTAAAAGCTGCCCCCACACCATTTTTATATTTGGTGGAAACCAACACATTTCCTCAGAAAACAAGTTATGGGGTGGGGAGTGGTTCAGTTGGTTGAGCGTCAGACTCTTGATTTTGGCTCAGGTATTGGTTTTGGCTCAGGTCATGATGCCAGGGTTGTGGGATCAAGCCCCACATTGGATTCCACACCGAATGTGAAGCCTACTTAAGACTCTCTCACTTTCTCCCTCTGTCCCTCGCCCCCACTCAGTCTTTCTCTCTAAATTAAATTAAATTAAATTAAAATTAAATTAAATTAAATTAAATTAAATTAAATTAAATTGAAATAAGTCATTGGTATATTTGGCTTCTCTTTGGATATGAGGCTGGGCCTCCTCCCCCGTGCACATTAAGAAATGTTTACTTTTCATATTAGTATTTCTTACAAGGTCCGGATTTCAGAGCCTCAGTGTTGGTTCCTCAAGTCGGTAGTGGCGCCCCCATCTCCAGGGAGGGTTCAGGCCATAACCCTTCCTAGAGTTGCCCAGCATCAGAAAGACACCACATGGGTTCCCACGTCCTTTCCCAGAGCCCACAGGGAACTTGGCCAGTAGACCCCCTGCAAGTGCCCCATCTACATCAGGCCCATTGCTCAGTTTCGGGTCAAGGTATCACTGTGTCCTGATTTTCCAGCCGAGAAAGAAAAGCCTCTCCGTCAGTAGCATGATCTGGAGGAGCTCCAGCACTGATATATTTCAGCAAGAAATCCTATACAAGGCTTCTATCTGCCCAGCTTTTAAGGGTCAAAGGCCTAAGAGCAAAAGGAAACAGTCTAACCAAATTGGGTAGCTCATACCAGAAATGTGGACAATTAATGAAATTATACAGAATATTCATAACCCGTTTGTGGAACTGTAAAAGTTTAACATCCAAATATCTTAACATTTTGATGACTAGGAGTGCAGAGACTATAGAAACAGTCTTGGAATTGTCTTCATTTAGCTTATTTGGAGTTGAATGTCACCAGCTGTATAACATAATATTCCCTCCAGTCCACAGAGGCTAGTTTTCATTCTTCCCAGGATCTGAAATTAGAATACCCTGTGTACAATATGAAGTTGTTACTCTAATGAATCTACTTGGAAATGTCATGTACAGGTTGCTTCCATTAAGCTTGAGAGTTTCAGTGATTGAAAGTAGGAGGCGAACACACACACACAGGTACACACATGTGCACCTGCACCCACATGCTTATTTACCAAGGAACCTGCAGTGAGGTGAGGGGGGTTTTCATGCCTTAAAAGGTCCAACATTTTTGTGCCTAGGAAGAAAGGACTGGGACAGCTAGGACACCCACATATTTTTGCCATTTGGCCATTTAGTCTATGCCTTACTCTCCCCATAAGTTTTGTGAGTTTGAGCCCCGTGTCGGGCTCTGTGCTAACAGCCTAGAGCCTGGAGCCTGCTTGGGATTCCATGTCTCCCTCTCTCTCTCTGCCCCTCCCCTACTCGCGCTCTCTCTCTCTCTCTCTCTCTCTCAAAACTAAACAAACCTGGGGCGCCTGGGTGGCGCAGTCGGTTAAGCGTCCGACTTCAGCCAGGTCACGATCTCATGGTCCGTGAGTTTGAGCCCCGCGTCAGGCTCTGGGCTGATGGCTCAGAGCCTGGAGCCTGTTTCCGATTCTGTGTCTCCCTCTCTCTCTGCCCTTCCCCCGTTCATGCTCTGTCTCTCTCTGTCCCAAAAATAAAATAAACGTTGAAAAAAAAAAAAAACTAAACAAACCTAAAAAAAAAAAAAAAGGAATAATCTAGACCTCTTTGAAATCTTCAGGCCGCTATACATCTTCCAAAACTGTACTCTGGGTGTTTTTCTCAATACCTTTATTATATAGGACTCCGTCCCTCCAAAACACCAGGGTCCCCTCTGAGAGCAGTTTCCTGGTCCACCTAGATAATCCCACCTAGAAATTCCTGCAGAATCCTTTTTTGCATCTATATCGTGTTCTCCATTATCCATCCAACACAGGTGGTTGCCACTGAATTTTTTATATTTTAAATAATAGAAGCACAAAAGTTCTCTTTTACAGGAGTAGGTGTCTTTGAGAAAATTTGTTGGCAGCCTCTTTTTTTTCCTTTTCTAAATTATTTGTTTTGTTTGTTTGTTTGTTTGTTTATTTATTGTGGATTTTGTCGGGGACAGCGGTGAGCTTTGTGTCCCAGGGGCAAGGGAACCAGCGCAGAGGTATGCTGATGCTAACCCAAAGAGTGGCCAGACACAGTTGCTGGCCGTGGCCACCATGTTGTCTTCTAGTTGATCCAAAGGTGTGTATAAAGACAGCAAGGATGTACTCCGTTCTAAACCCACTTCATTTACTTCACTTATTGGCTACCTCTGGAGACAATGTTTTCACAGAGAAAGAAGTCGTGTCTCGTGTCTCGAACAATTTGGAGTCTCAGCATGGGCCCCAGTTCTCTCTTTGCGCTTTAACGTTTCGAGAGACCAGACCCACAGCCCTCATTAGCCAGCCAGTGGGGTCTCCTTAGTAAAGGAGATCGGCTATGAAGATGCTGAGTCACTGGCTTGACTGCCGAGGGTCACGGCCTGAATGTATATGGTTGGCTTTTATTCCTATCTTTTCTTCCAAATATTTGCTTCTCGCCTGATTGATGAAAGGCCCTAAGACTCACGACTGGCACTCACTGAGCTCTCGTCCTTCTTGGCTGTGTGGTCAAACAAATACAGGAGTGAGGGAGGGAGTTACAGGGGCAATGGTATGAGTCGCCTGTGGCGATCCAGCCTTCACATTTTTCTGACATGTACCACGTGAATAGTAGAGAAAATCTCGAATGTATTAATGAGAATAGTTTTACCAAACTAAAGCTGACGGCTGCATTTTACCATTGATATGGGGGCATTCTTAGAAAACGAAATTTAACTGACTAAAACTGAAGGTGGACCGTCAGAGAATTGTTATCAATGTTAGGTTCCCCGAACTTGTTATTTTGTATTGCAACTGTTGGCGCATATCCTTGACCTTAGGAGATGCATATCGAAGTATATAGTATGTAGGAGCACAGGGTGATGATGTCTGCCACTCCTTCTCAAACAATTCTTCAAAATAATAACAGAAGGGGCACCTGGGTGGCTCAGTCGGTTAAGCGGCCAACTTCAGCTCAGGTCACGATCTCGCGGTCCGTGAGTTCGAGCCCCGTGTCGGGCTCTGGGCTGATGGCTCAGAGCCTGGAGCCTGCTTCCGATTCTGTGTCTCCCTCTCTCTCTGCCCCTCCCCCGTTCATGCTCTGTCTCTCTCTGTCTCAAAAATAAATAAAACGTTAAAAAAATTTTTTTAAATAATAACAGGAATGAAAGAGAGAGAACGCACAAATTCTGACAAAGGCTAACCACGGTGAATTCTAAGTGAAGGACATGTAGGTATTTGTTCATTGTATGATCCTCACAACTTTTCTGTAAGTTTGAAGGTTTTCAGAACATAGAGTTAAAAAAAAAAAAAAGGCAACACACAGTGATTACTTATCAAAGTCAAACATTTGACTTAGAGCAATCACACTGACAGAAGCAACCAATTGGAAGAGGCTCTCCAGAGTACAGTCAGTGCATGCTCTATGGGCCTGTTTCTGCTTAGGATTGTCTTGGTGAATCCAATGAACCTGTGGATAGAGGCACGGAGTTGAAGGTTGTGCCCCATTACAAGACTAATGGTGCTCAACTAACACACTCAACCAGTGATGCATGACCATGATAACAGCAGCCCAAGGGACCACAGTGTGGGGCAAAAGATACCATCCACTCTGGGAGAGGCTTTGCCTTCTCTCCTCTCCACTGCGAAGCCTCTCAAAAGCCTGCTCTTCTGGGCTTGCCTCCAGTTTTATACTATTCTTTGAAGGTTCTTTAACCCACCAGCAGGGAATAAACTGTGCACCAAGGGGACCGCTGGGTGCCAATTGTCAAGCTCCTCCACCTCTCTTATCTCGGTCTTCAGCCTGTTGGCCTTCTCCTTCACCCAGAAAGGCAAGCTGCAGGAAGAAAACAACACCTGAGTTTGAGTTTGTCTAAAGCAAAATGCACAGACACGTTCAGTGGATAAGGTACTACATCCTCCGAAGTAAGAAGGCCTCCGATTTAGGAGATCAGTGACAAAACACCATGGGAAGTTGTTCCGCATTTGCCCCTCCCTCCAAACCCAGATCTCTTTTCTGCCCTTCTCTGCCCAGGGAGCTGACCCCTGCAACTTGCATCACCTTGATTCCTCTGTGCCCTCACCTTTGAGCTGGGCTTAGCTAATGGGAGGCACCAGTAAGAGACCAGAAAGCCAGAAGAGAGAGAGGTTGTTTATTTCTCACCTAGCTTCTCTACTCCCGCTCATCTCCTGAGGCACCTCGGTTCCAGCAGTGAGTGCACTCTCCACTGCCACAACCCCTTCCAGACAGCCCATCTCCACCTCCCCCCACACAGGGGGGGCAAGATCACTCTTCCTGCTGCTCAGACACATGAGTGGTAAGAGCTGCCCACTGATGGGAGCCCCTGGATGCTTCGCCCTTCCATGTGAGTTCCCTCATCCGGTTCACACATCTGTAAACAGTCCTTTCATTCAGGATTCTTCAGAATCCCACCTGAGCATGCCCTCTGTTTTTCTAACGCTGACAGCCAGCATCCTCCCAAGTCTGTTGGGATTTGAAAGGACATATGCTGGGCCACACTGTGTATGTTCCAAGAGGTACCAGGAATTGTGACTCCTGGGATGAGTCAGAGAAAGAAGATGAAGATTTTTTTTTTTTGTTATCTTTTAAGCAGCTTTGATTTCCATCCATTTAGGGAGAAATGCACCATGATTGGGAAAATGGCCCAATACACCTGCTAGGGATGTGGAAGTTCCTGCAGGAAGGAATGGGGTATTACCACGTAGGTAATAGTTGGAAGTCAAGGGCATCATGTAAAGCTGACAAACCAGTATGAGAAGCCCAAATAAGACCAGCAGGATGAAGAGCAGTACAGAACAATTCTAGCATAAAGAATCCCTAGAACAAGGGGCGCCTGGGTGGCTCAGTCGGTTAAGCGTCCGACTCTTGACTTCAGGTCAGGTCATGATCTCACAGTTTGTGGGTTTGAGCCCCACATCGGGCTCTGCACTGACAGCACAGAGCCTGCTTGGGATTCTCTCTCTCCCTCTCTCGGCACCTCCCCTGCTCGCTCGCTCTCTCTCTCTCTCAAAATAAATAAATAAACTTTAAAAGAAAAGAATCTCTCAAACAAAACCACCATGGTAAAAATAATATAGTACACATAATAAATGTAACAAAATACTAGGATAGAATTGAAACAAATCTGCCGAATCATTAATGCAAAAGATCTTAATTCACCTATTAAAGACAAAATTTTTCAGATCAGCTCACAAAGCAAAAATCCAACTCTGTGTCTATAAGACAGACCTAAACCGAAGTGCTTTGAAAGTCTAAAAACAAAAGAATGGGCAAAGGTGTATCAGTCAATGCAAACAAAACAAAGTATGAGTTGTAATCTTAATATCTGGCAATGTATAAGACAAAAAGCATTAAATGAGAAAAAGAAGATTTTTTTATTTTAATTCTAATCTAGTTAATATAGGATGTTATATTCATTTCAGGTATGCAATACAGTGATTCATCACTTCCATATTACTCAATGCTCATCAAGATAAGTATACTCTTGATCCCCTTCACCCATTTCCCCCATCTCCCACCCACCTCCCCTCTGGTAACCATCAATTTGTTCTTTATAAAGTCTGGTTTCGGTTTGTCTAATAAGATATTTTTATAATGTTAATGGCTATACTTAACAATATAGATAGAAATACATTAATATTAGCACACAATTAACACACCCATTTTCAGTCCTAGCTAGGTCAAATGGACAATTTTATTCAAAAAGATAAATCTTCTGGGGGCGCCTGGGTGGCTCAGTCAGTTAAGCGTCTGACTTCGGCTCAGGTCATGATCTCACGGTCCGTGAGTTCGAGCACCGCATCGGGCTCTGGGCTGACAGCTCGGAGCCTGGAGCCTGCTTCACATTCTGTGTCTCCCTCTCTCTCTGACCCTCCCCCGTTCATGCTCTGTCTCTCTCTGTCTCAAAAATAAACAAACATTACAAAAAAAATTTTTGTTAAAAAAACAGATAAATCTTCTGGGTATGTATCTAACTTTGCAGCCTGATGAAATAGATACACCTTCAAATGCATAGAGAGACAGTCCCCATGATGAGCATGTATTTAGTCACAATGAAAAGTTGGCAAGTTCCATAAAATAAAAGTAATAAAAACAATATCTTCTGATCATTGGGTGATAAAAGTAAAAATGAACTGCAAAATAAAAATCCAAAAGCTCTTCCACCTGGAAATTTTAAGTCTATTAAGTAATTCTTTAGTCAAAAGGAAAAGGCCAACACAGAATTCTTTTAAAAAGTAAGGATAATCTACACTTCAAAATTTGTAAAATAAAAGGAGAGCAGTGGTCAGAGGTGCTTTCATAGCCTTTAATATATATAGTAAGGAATTTAAAAATGAATTAAACATCCCATTCAAAAAATTTAAAAAGTGGGAGCACCTGGGTGGCTCAGTTGCTTAGGCATCCAACTTCTGCTCGGGTCATGATTTCATAGTTCATGGGTTCGAGCCCTGCATCAGGATCTCTATCAGTGCAGAGCCCACTTTGAATCCTCTGTCCCCCTCTCTCTCTGCCTTTCTCTCTCTCTCTCTCTCTCTCTCTCTCTCTCTCTCTCTCTCTTTCAAAATAAATAAACTTAAATACATAAATAGGGGCGCCTGGATGGCTCAGTGAGTTAAGCATCAGACTCCTGGTTTTGACTCAGGTCACGATTTCACAGTTTGTGCGTTTGAGCCCCACGTGACTTTGACCTTTGCCATCAGGCTCTATGCTGATAGTGTAGAGACTGCTTGGGATATTCTCTGTCCTCTCCCTCTCTCTACCCCTCCCTCAGTCATGCTCACTCTCTTTCTCTCTCTCTCTCAAAATAAATAATAAAAATAAATAATATACAAGTGATGAGTTTACTTATGGGGCTCCTAAATGGCTCAGTCAGTAGAGCATGTGACTCTTGACCTCAGAATGAGATCTCAGAGTGAGTTCGAGCCCCACATAGGGTGTAGAGATTACTTTTTAAAAAAATCAAAAAGAACAAAAATAAACCAAAAGAGTAGAAAGAAGAAAATAATAACAATAGAAGCAAAGACTGATGCTTTAAAAACAGAGAAAGAGACAGTATAAAATAGAATACAATCTTTAAAGCTTCTTTTTAAAAATAACAAATACACAAACCACTATCTAACCTAATGAAGAAAAGGGGGAATAAAGCACCAACACACAAAATTAACAATAAGGGAGAAACAAGTGAAAGAAGACAGGAAATTGGAACAATTCTATGCAAATAAATTTGAAAACCTAAAAGAAATGGATAACATTCTGGAAAAATTAAACATTACTCATAAGAAAGATTAAGTTTGAACATATGTTGAGGTATGTTCCCTCTGTACCCAATTCGTTGAGAGTTTTTATATCACGAAACGATGGTGAATTTTACCAAATGCTTTTTCTGCATCTGTTGAGATGATCATGATTGTTTATCCTTCATTCCGTTAATGTGGTAGATCACATTCATTGATCTGCGGATGTTGGAGCATCTTGCATCCCTGGAATAAACCCACTTGCTCATGATGTATGATCTTTTTAATGTAATGTTTAATTTGTTTTGCTGATAGTTGAGGATTTTTGCACCTATATTCATCAGGGATACTGGCTTGTAATTATGTTTTCTGGCAGTGTCCTTGTCTAGTTTTGGTATCAGGGTAATGCAGACCTCATAAAATGAGTTTGGAAGTATTCCCTCCTCTTCTACTTTTTTGGAAGTTTGGGAAGGAACGAAATTAGTTTCTTCTTTAAATGTTTGATAGAATTCACCAGTGAAACCATTTGGTTTTGGGCTCAAGTTAACAGATTTCTGATTACTGCTTCCGTCTCCTTACAAGTCATTGGTCTGTTCAGATTTATTTCTTCAAAGGGGCACCTGGGTGGCTCAGTCGGTTAGCATCCAACTTCGGCTCAGGTCATGATCTCATGGTTCATGAGTTTGAGCCCCGCATTGGGCTCTGTGCTGACAACTCAGAGCCTGGAGCCTGCTTCGGATTCTGTGTCTCCCTCTCTCTCTGCCCCTCCCCCACTTGCGCTCTGTCTCTGTCTCTCTCTCTCAAAAATAAATGAACATTAAAAAAATCAATAAATAAAAAAGATTTATTTCTCCATGATTCAGTCTTGTGAAGTTGTATGTTTCTAGGAATGCACCCGGTTTTTATAGGTTGTCCAATTTGTTCGGTGGATAATTGTTCATAGCAGTCTCCTAAATCCTTTATATTTCTGGGATATCAGTTGTAATGTCTCCTTTTTCACTTAATGTTATTTGAGTCCAGTCCCTTTTTTCTTTGGTTAGTGTAGCTAAAGGTTTATCTATTTGGTTTATCTTTTAAAAAAAAACAAAAAAACAGCTCTTCATTTCATTGATTTTTTTCTATTACCTTTTTAGTCTCTATTTCATTTATTTCCCCTCAGGTTTTTGTTATTTCCTTCCTTCTACTAACCTTGAGCTTAGTTTGTTCTTCTTTTTTTAGTTCCTTGAGGTGTAAAGTTAGGCTGTTCATTTGATGTCTTTCTTTTTTCTTAACGTAGGCATTTACTACTCTAAACTTCTCTTTTTGATCTGTTTTCGCTGCATGCGTGGTTTTGGGGTGCTGTATTTCCACTTTCACTTGTGTCGAAGTGTTGTTGTTTTTTTTTAATGTTCCTTTTTTGATTTCTCCTTTGACCCATTGGTTACTCAGGAGCATGCTGTTTAATCTTCATATATTTGCACAGTTTCCAGTTTTCCTCTTGCACACGTTTTCTATTTTCACACCATGTGGTCACAAAAGATACTTGATAGGATTTCAGTCTTCTTAAATGTATAGACTTGTTTTGTGCCCTGGCAATTACTTTTATTTTAAATATTTTAGAATAGCATTTACCAAAAGTGTGCAGTACACAAGGTACCTTGGTGGCTTGGTCAGTTAAGCATCCAACTCTTGATCTCAGCTCAAGTCTTGATCTCAGGGTCATGAATTCAAACCCCACATTGGGCTCCACACCCAGCGTGGAGCCTAGTTTTAAAAAAGAAAAAAAGTATACAGGGGTGCCTGGGTGGTTCACTCAGTTAAGTGTCCAACTTTGGCTCAGGTCACGGTCTCGAGGTTCATGGGTTCGAGCCCCTCATCGGGCTCTGTGCTGACAGCTCAGAGCCTGGAGCCTGCTTCGGATTCTGTCTCCCTTGCTCTCTGCCCCTCCCCAACTCACGCTCTGTCTCTCTCAAAAATAAACGTTAAAAAAAAAAGTTTTTATGTATACAGTACAGACATGAGAGGCCCTAATTATCTGCTTCATGTAATAATGCCGTATAATGAAGGTATTAAAGCTCCCAAGTTTGGGGGCGCCTGGGTGGCGCAGTCGGTTAAGTGTCCGACTTCAGCCAGGTCACGATCTCGCGGTCCGTGAGTTCGAGCCCCGCGTCGGGCTCTGGGCTGATGGCTCAGAGCCTGGAGCCTGTTTCCAATTCTGTGTCTCCCTCTCTCTCTGGCCCTCCCCCGTTCATGCTCTGTCTCTCTCTGTCCCAAAAATAAATAAACGTTGAAAAAAAAATTTTAATAAAGCTCCCAAGTTTGGAATAAAAGGCTTTTTATTTCCACTGAGCTCCAGGGTTTGGTTTCCCAGCTGGACTCCAGTGGGTCAGACTGTGGGTCACTTGCCCACTCTATCTATGTTTATATGAAACTGTTTTGTATTAGAAAGCGAAATTTTTTATACTGACACATATCTTTTTCTAGGTCTAAACCCTCCTTGGGCAACTAGATGAGGTTCAGAAAGGACCTGAACTTAAAGTATGACATCAGAGGAATGATACTTCCCTCTAGTGCGAGAATATTCTGACAGCTTTTTCTCTGCCTCTTCAAACTCTAACCATCCTCCCTGGCTGGACTCATTTAAGCCTGTCCTTCTTTTCTGACAACTCTTAGGTTTTAAAACTCAGGGACCCTGCCTTTTTTCTCCATATAAACGTTCATTAGTGCATACCTACCACAACACATGGCATCCAGCGGGCTGTCCATCATATGGGGTGAAGACGTGGACAGCCCAGCTGATAGACTGCACAGCACTTGCCCTCCAAGTGTCTCACTAAAAACGCTCCATACAAACTGCCCCACCCACCAGGTCAGATTCTAAAGGTCCTTCTGTGTTGGGTGTCTATGAGTTCGTCCATAGGAGAAAATAATAAATAACTGATAACTTAATAAAACTTGGATAATATAAAACACAGTGAGAGAACTCACATAGGAATTTGTGGAAGAGGCTCAAGTGGAATAAATGTATCAAATTTCTTTTCATACGGCACTCTGAAAAACAGAAAAGGCAACCATAAAATTGGTATGGCATCTACAGCAGAGAGATCGATAGAAACATCTTTGTGTTCAAGAAGATGTCTTGGGACCCCTGGGTGGCCCAGTTGGTTGGGCGTCCGACTTCGGCTCAGGTCATGATCTCGCAGTTCATGAATTCGAGCCCCGCGTCAGGCTCTGTGCTGACAGCTCAGAGCCTGGAGCCTGCCTCAGATTCTGTGTCTCCTTCTCCCTCTGCCCCTCCCCCCCTTGTGCTCTGTCTCTTCCTATCTATCAAAAATAAATAAATGTAAAAAAAAATTTTCTTAAAGAAGAATATGTCTTATTTTCTGGTTTAATGGCCACCTATGGGCTTCACAACTATAAAGGTCATAATTCTTATTATAATTTTTATTAAACATCAATAAACCAAACATAATTGATTTTTTAAAATATTAATATAATACACCAACTTTTTTTCTTTTAACTTAATGATCCTCTTCTGAATAGCTTTGGCCTAAGTTTAGTTCCAAGTGTACATCAATCCAAACAGTAAACACTAATAATCTGATTCAGTATGAAACTGAAAAGTCCTCAGATTTGTGGTAACAACAATAGTGACAAAATTAACAACCACCTTTTTGTAGTCAAGATCCTGTGTATAAGTTCAATTGCACACGTACATGTGTGTAGACACTAAGGAATTAGAGATTAACTTTTTAAGGAATTTTCAGCAACCATGTTTTGTTGGAATCTACTCCTTATGAAATATAACATATATAGTACAGAGAGCTACAATTCCTTTATAATTAACTAACCCTGCTATTCACATACACTTACATTGAGAAATTCACTGGTGGGAGAGTTGAGCCTGCTTTGTGGAAGCCTTTACTCTGTTCTGGGTACATATATGGATTATCTCCTGGAGTTAACTTTGGTATTCCATTCCTAGGATCAATATCTGTGAAATATTTAAAAACAAGATCATAAAAGGGACTGAAGGTGATCTACAGATAATGCTCTATCCATATGACAATGGAAACAGGATAATTTCATGTTTTATTATGAAGTACATAGAGGCTTCCTAAAGTTCTGTTCGTGATCATCTTGCCTGGAGAATATGAAGATAAAAGTGTGCTTGAGAAACACTGTGTTTGGGACATTGTTCCAGAAAGTGTCCCGATTACCCCCACCCTGGGAAAGAACAGTAGCTTAGGTGCAGGCAGGATGTTTTGGTTTAAAATGAGGGGCACTTGGGTGGTTCAGTTGGTTAAGTGTCCGACTCTTGATTTCAGCTCACGGTTCATGAGAAGGAGCCCCACATTGGGCTCTGTGCTGGGCTTGGAGCCTGCTTGGGATTCCCCTTCTCCCTCTCCCTCTCTCTTTCTCTCTCTCTCTCTCTCTCTCTCTCTCTCTCTCTCAAAATAAATAAATATTAAAAAAATAACTACAGTTGACCCTTAAACAAAAATAAATATATAGATAGATAGCGAGATAGATAATATAAGAAGTGAATCAAAGGTATCTGCAAAGGAAGAGCAAGAACTCTGCTTAAAATTTGAGCATTGGTGTACTTTGAATCCTTGTGCCCTATGAATCTTAAGGAGCAACTATAATTGGGCTCTGCCTCTCTGACTAGATCTCAGAAGGGAATTAGCTAATGAGGAAGAGCTACAGAAGAGAAAAATCAGTTTCAGGTCAATTTCCCTATAACCATAGACAACATTTTGTTCTTCTTCCATGACAACAAATTTAAGGAACTCCACCAATGGCCTGATCATAGCTGATCATCAGAGTTAACTCTTAATGAAATACATTTTGATTGGATTTTTTCTATAATAAATGTGTTGAATTTCAGTTCATAATGGAAGCTGGCAGTCATAAACGCTGCCTCTCCGTCTTGTCCAAGAAGTAACGAGGGAGAAGAGAATAATGAAGAAATGTCCAGTGCCAAGCTTAAAAATATTAAATACTGCAAGAGATCAAGGAAGAGAAAAAATGGAAAAGAGACCATTGTATTTGAGGTTTAAGGAAGTCACTGCACATTACCCAAGAACTAGTCACACTAAAACGAATCGAGCCTGTATATCCAACTATAAGTGTACAAGAAATACACAGGACAGAGAAACCTGTTAAATGGTACCAAGGGATGTAATCAGCAAAATCCTGACTGTGGCAAACTTTATAGGATAAATAACCTAGTTTCTTCACCAAATAAATTGCAAGAAAAAAAGAGGAAGAAGACCTATATATTAAAAAGAGATTTTAAAGACATTTTAATTAATTGTTAAGCATGGACCTTTTTTGGACCCTGATTCAAACTCTAAATATTTTTAAATTGTGGCATTTGTGAGGCAATTGACTATTTGAACACTGACAATATTTGGTGATATTAAGGAATTATTGTTAGTTTTTTTAAGATAAAATGGTATTGTGGCCATTTAATAAAAATAATCCTTGTCTATTAGAGGTATACACAAAAACATATACGGATGTAATTATCTGATGTCTGGAACTTGCTTTAAAATAATCCCTGGGGGAGGGGGATAAAAATTAAATAAGATTAGCCACATGTGATAATTGTCGAAACTAAGTGATGAGTACATCAGGAAACAGTATGGTCTTCTCTCTACTTTGGCAAATGTTTGAAAATGTCCCCCATAAAAAGTTCTTCTTTGTAATAAAGGTGGAATTGGAGTTACCTGTGGAGTTGGGGGAGGAAAGATGTCATATTCAGGGAGGGGCCTATCAGTAGCTTCAAATATCAAGACAGTACTCTATGTCTTAAATGGAGTAAGAAGCATACAAATGATTGTGATACTTAACGGGAGCCCGGGTGGCTCAGTCAGTTAAATGTCCTGCTTGGGCTCAGGTCATGATCTCACAGTTCGTGAATTCGAGCCCTACATTGGGCTCTCTGCTGTCAGCACAGAGCCCATTTTGGGTCCTCTGTCTCCCTCTCTCTCTGCCCCTCCCCTGCTTGCTCTCTCTCTCTCTCTCTCTCTCTCTCTCTCTCAAAAATAAATAAACATTAAAAAAAACACAAGTGAGGGGCACCTGGGTGGCTCAGTCGGTTAGCCATCCAGCTTCGGCTCAGGTCATGATCTCACAGTTTGTGTGTTCAAGCCCCAAGTCAGGCTCTGTGTTGATAGCTCAGAGCCTAGAGCCTGCTTCCGATTCTGTGTCTCCCCTCTTTCTCTGCCCCCCCCACCCCCGCTCATGCTCTGTCTCTCTCTCTCAAAAATAAATTAGAAATTTAAACAAAAACACAAGTGATTGTGATACTTTATTCTATATAGTCAATAAATACTTCATAAATATACCTTTGCATGCATTCAGTATGTATAAAAACCATAAAAAGACAGAAGAAACAAATGAAGGAAGGATGGAAGGGAAATAATAATAAACAAAATTCAGGGGTGCCTGGGTGGCTCACCCAGTAGCTCACCGGACTTCAGCTCAGGTCATGATCTCACAGTTCGTGGGTTTGAGCCCCATGTCAGGCTCTGTGCTGACAGCTCAGAGCCTGGAGCCCGCTTCAGATTCTGTGTCCCCCTCTCTCTTGACCCCTGCTCAGCTCACACTCTGTCTCTGTCTGTCTGTCTGTCTGTCTCTCTCTCTCTAAAATAAATAAACTTTAAAAAATAATAATAAACAAAATTCAGGATAATGTTTGAGTTAGGAGGGAAGTGATGGATTAGGGTCAGGACTTGAGTCATCACGATAATACCATTTATTTTTGATAAATACTTGTCACTGGCCCAGTTCTAGTCAGTGAGACATAAGTGGAAGGAAGTCTCCTAAGGACCATATGGGAAAATTTTTCCCTCATTCTAAAAAGGGAAGGCAACAAGAGAGATTCCTCTTTTTCATGTTTTGAAATATAGACGTGATGCTTGGAACCGCAACAGTTCTCTTGTGACCATAAGATGACAAGTGTGAAGACAAAAATCCAACAGAATTAAGAATAGCAGCACATAAACACAAAATGAGCCTATTATCTTTGGGGCGCCTGGGCGGCTCAGTCCGTCAAGCATCCAACTCTTGATTTCGGCTCAGGCCATGATCTCACGGTTCGTGAGTTCAAGCCCTGCGTCGGACTCTGTGCTGACAATGCAGAACTTGCTTGACATTCTCTCTCTCCCTTTCTCTCTGCCCCTCCCCTGCTTGCTCTTTCACTCTCTCTCAAAATAAATAAATATACTTAATAAAAAAAAAAAGAGCTATATCTTTGGTGACATCACTGGGCAATCAGACAATATAGACCACCTAGATTCCAAAGCTTCTCATTAAGTATATGATAAATGTCTTATGATTTAAGCCTCTGACAGTTTGGCTTTTGTCTGACTGTGGCTGAGAGCGTTCCTAAGTACTATACAGCTAAACTTAGTCCCTTCTTGGTCTTTCTCTGCTCTTTCATGTTTAAACCAGTTAAATAAATCTTTCCTATTCTATCCTATGGCTGCAACTCAGTTGGGGGTGGGGAGCAAGCGTGTGCACAACAGGCTTATGTGATATCAAGGCTTTGGTATAAGCCTTTGGGTCCTGGATCACTGTCTGAACCACCCTGGTGTCTGACCCTCATCTTATCTCTGCTACTCTCTGTAGGTTGGTATCTATTTCTGTTGTCTGCTAAAATGTGTCATCTAGTCTGATCCTCAGGAAGTCAGCCCGCTCCACAATGCATCAGGTGAGACATAAAGTCGTTCTTATGACCCCTGGCTTGATGGTCCACAGAGCCTCACACGGTGGCCTCCTGCCGTTTTGGTCGTGAGAGCTATGGAGCTCTCCTGGCTTGCTCTCTTTCTTTCATTCTGTCTATGTGTCCCGACCTCCACAGTCCTCACGGGGCAAAGAATGCAGCTATTACCCACGTCTCCTGGGTGGGTGAGACCCTGCATCTGGCTTTCTGCCCAGACATTGCCCATAGCTATCACTACGCTGAGGTTCCCCAACCACAGTCTGAGGCAGAAGCCCCAGCTAGAGTCACATCTGATCACCGATTAGATTTTGGTCCCAGAAACTGAGCAGGATACAGGACTCCTCAAAACACCCACCTCAGCGACAACTCTCCCACCTCCTCTAGTATGGCTTCTCATATATTCTCTATCCAGACAAAAGCCTTGATCTTTAAAACTTTATCTCTGGGGGCACCTGGGGGGCTCAGTTGTTTAAGCGACTGACTTCCGCTCAGGTTCCCGAGTTCGAGCCCCGCATTGAGCTCTCTGCAGTCAGCACAGAGCCCGCTTCAGATACTCTGTCCCCCTCTCTCTGTCCCTTCCCAACTTCCCCACTCACATGTGCTCTCTCTCTCTCTCTGTCTCAAAAATAAATAAACACTTAAAACTATTTGCCGTGCAATGAGTTTAAAAGTCCATTTTAGGGGCACCTGGGTGGCTCAGTCCTACTCTTGATTTCGATTCAGGTTGTGAGATCGAGCCCTGTGTTCTCCGCGCCGAGCATGGAGCCTGTTTGAGACTCTCTCTCTCCCCCCCTTCTGCCCCTCTCTCCCCCACTGGCGTGCTCTCTCTCTCTAAAGCAGAATAAACAAAAAAAAGTCTATTTTAAACCTCAAAAATGAAAACTTTCTATTTCTTCCTCTTTGTATTCCTGCTACAGCAATCCTATTCATCCATGAAGCAAGGGCTGCCTCCTGTATGGTATTTCTATGGAAGAATGTGCTATAATGATCCATTGGAACTCAGCAACACTAGGATCTTTCCATAAAAAATCTATTATGGGTAGGTTGGGACAGAGAACTCACCAAGTAACAAACTATATGAGTATATACACACACTCATCTCAAATTACCTTTAATAAGGTATGAAATAACAGAATGCACTTCAGGCTAAGGTTTATGGGCTATTTTCCTTTTGAAGAATATAATGTATAATTTAAATACATATCATGGGCAGCATCTAATTGAAACAAATTATTTTCTTCCGACTTGAATGAAGGTTTCTATTAATAAGTATCTGAGAGAACTTGTCTGATGACTTAAATGTCACATTAGCATTTTATGAAATGCAGAGAAAAACAAAAATGTGGATCAGCATATGTTGTCAGTTCTTTGCCAAAAAGAATTGCCAAACATCCCCTTCACTTTCCTATCTTCCTGGCCGCCCTACAGTAACATGGTGACCCCCGAGGGCTGACACCAGCCATGGAATGTTGGCCTGGCAGAACCACAACTCAAGTATTTTCAGACATCGCACAGTCAAGGTCCAGGAGGAAAACGTTACCATACTTCTTCCTCCCAAAGCACTTGTCCACCATTCTCTCTGATAGAGACTTCCTGTTGCCAAGGAAGACCCCGTTAAAGAAGCACTGCTTTCCAACGTGGTAGGTGTGGATATTGCTGCTAAACCTCGGGTAAAATGTCCATTCAGGACGGTGCCCATCCTCTGCAAGACATCAGAAATCCTTCCATCAGCTACGCGCCCGGCCTCATAATGCAATTAAATGACAGAAAGTTGTCCCGGGCATTCTCTGACTGTACAGCCTTTATCAACATGTTTAATTCCTTGGTTCTACATCAAGGGCAGTGTTAACCTCTGGGGGACTCAGCACGAGAGGAAGGGAACAGGCACCTGGGTGGCTCAGTCGGCTAAGTGTCAGGCTTCAGTCAGGTCATGATCTCACGGTTCATGAGGTCAAGCCCACATTGGGCTCTGCTTGCAGTGCAGAACCCGCTTCGGATCCTCTGCCCCTCCCCTGCTCGTGCTTGCTCTCTCTCTCAAAAATAAACATTTAAAAAAAAAAAAGAGGGGAACTGGGGAGATAGGTATCTAAGAGGCCTCTTTTTTTTTCCTTTTTACCCTCTCTTCCAAAAATAAAGCCATCTTTATGGTTGGAAGCGATGTCTGGAATGGGAAGCTAAGAGACAGTTGTACAAGCACCTATGATCCAGCCTTCGCTCTGATGAGTGGGTAGGAAGAACAGAATGCCCATCAACCAGGGAAGGGCTGGGCCAACCACGGCAACTTAGTGGATGGACCACAGTGTTGGCAGCAATGATGGGACACGCGTGCACTAGAGTGACTCTGGGAAATGTAGACATGCAACTCTGGCAAATGAGAAAGGCCATCGCGAGACCTCAGGCAAGTCACCGGACCTCTCAGGGCTTTGTTTCCTCGCTCAATACTTTTCCTACAAAATGGCTAAAGTGATTTTAAACAATGAGAGATTCTCTAACAGCTCTAGGGTTGTTTGAGAAACACTTGGGCTCTGTGGTGGCCAAGAAAGAACACAGGCTCTGGGGGCAGGTGAGCCTGGAGTCTAATCCCATCACTGTACTTCCTAGCCAGGTGGTCTTGTACGAGTGACTAAATCTCTCTGCGCCTCAGTTGCCTGGGGTGTTAAATGGGTAGGCCTATATTAGCCACCTAGATTTATGTGTATTGACACAGAAAGAGGTCCATGATCTATTTGTTCTGAGTGAAAATAGTTTGTATACTATTTTCCACTAGTGAAAATATGGTTGTATACTCCAACCCATGTATAGATAAGTACATACATACCAGCACATACACGCTTCAAAATTCCTCACGGCTACAGGGCCCATGGGGGATACATTGGAGAACACTGGGGAAGGGGTTTCTATACTCTACCTTATATACTCCTTTATTATTTTAATACTTTGCTATGATACTTTTATGGTTTTTATATAAAGCCATGTCAGTTTGGGAAAACATATCATGACAGCTCCCCAGCAGAGCTGCTGCGAGAATTAGAAAACCTGTCTGGGAATGCAAGCTGGTGCACCCACTCTGGAAAACAGTATGGAGGTTCCTCAAAAGACTAAAAATAGAACTACCATATGACCCAGCAATTGCACTACTAGGCATTTATCCACGGGATACAGGTGTGCTGTTTCGAAGGGACACGTGCACCCCATGTTTATAGCAGCACTATCGACAAGAGCCAAAGTATGGAAAGAGCCCAAATGTCCATCGATGGATGAATGGACAAAGAAGATGTGGCATATATATACAATGGAGCATTACTCGGCAATCAAAAAGAATGAAATCTTGCCATTTGCAACTACGTGGATGGAACTGGAGGATATGATGCTAAGTGAAATTAATCAGAGAAAGACAAATATCATATGACT